AGATGAGATTTAATACCGGTAAATTAATTGTGTGATTGTAATACGTAGCGAAAGCCCTTTATGATCTGATTAATGTATGCATTGATGATTGATTATTATGTTTTACCCTAGAATATTATTTATTGGTGAACCTATGCCCTAGGCCTTTTATTCTTTGTTTTTCCTCCTACTTTTATTCTTTCCCACTTTTACTCTTCGTAGTTTAGTTTCCTTCGATCATTATATTTTGGTTACTTTATAATCTAGATTATATTAATTAATTAGGAATAGAAAGACTCGTTTCACTGTGGATTCGACCCTACTTCCCTATCTACATTAGTTAGAGGATTTAGGAATTACTTTTGATTAGGGGATACGACTTTACCATGTCACCACGTTACAACCCTTAAAAAGACCTTTTTGTGGTATACACACACTTGTGCGAGGTTTGGCTAAAGCTACATTCGGCCTGATTCCTAACGGATACGTAGGCAACCTCACATTGAGGTGAAACCGTAATAAACATGCATTTATATTCACATTCACACACCATGATCATATCAAGGGATCTCCTATGCTCATCCCTATTTACTTAGAGCTAGACTTGGGGGCTTGATCCCAACATCATTAGCTTACCTAGCCTAAGAGTCACCACCATTTGACTCTTTTAAAAAATAATATCTTTCAACACACTTAGCCCTTACGGCCTAACTTTAGTGTCACTTTCACACACTGCACAGATACATGACCAAATATACTTTCCCTTAGGAACCCTTTGTCATGAAATCTTAACACAACGTTGAAGCATGTATTGTCATATCAAAATCACTCATCAATCATAATCATCATTGCATCGAAGTATTAAGTGCTTAGCCTCCACGCCTAAGTTACCCAAATACTTTCACTATCGAGTCAACTAGGATAGTCTAAGATGTTACAATCCTTGTACTGTCAGAAACAACATTTGACTAAGCTCATTCAACATGCACCTTCAAAAACTTCACTTAGATTCTTTTTCATGTCTTTCTTTTTTGGGAGAAAGTCGGTACCCTCCACAAAAATGACGGAAAATTTTTGCTTTTTTGCATTTTCGAGTCGCACAATCATAATACAATGCACGCACGGGTCATGAGTCACATGTGTCATTTCACTTCGAGTCGAGTCAACCTTGAGTCAATCACAGCGAGTCAAGTTTATACCTTGAGTCGTGTCAAGTCAATGAGTCAAGCGACATTAAACCTTAGGTCAACCCTAAAATAATTAAAGAGATTAGCAAAGTCCTATAGTCAAAGATAAATACAGGTGCATCCCAGCGGCAGCAAGAGCAGAATAGGGAAGACCCGACTCCAGCGCCAGACGACAACATCTAGCGTCTGGCAACAGATTTCAGCGCCTGGCGTTAGATTTCAGCGTCTGGCGACAGAGCCAAATCGCAGCGCCAGAGGCATTGCAGCGGCGACAGAACGCTCAACCACTCAGAGCAGTTATTTCAACCTCTTTCAGCAATTTCGGGTTCCTTGGTACGCCAGTTAGCCCCTATAAGCAATTTGACATGACTAAGTAGTCGGCTTGATTACAATCGTAATAAGTGATCGACCTGACGAAAGGTCATCTCACATAGCTTAAAGCGCCTAAAACATTGGCTCATCGCAAGACACCGATGTACAGGTTCATAAACAGCAGAGACACCGACATACTGGTTCATAAACAACAGAGGCACCGACATAATGGTTCACAAGCAGAAAAAGCGTCGACGTACTGGCATAGCGGAAGCAAAGTTCAAGCGAGTTTTAAAGATCGACAAGTGTTGGTCTTCAGAAGTTTTCTTCGGAATATTATCGCAACAAACATTAAAGCATCAAAGCTCTTTAGTTTAGAGACGCGTGGACATTTCTTTCAAGCTCTTTTGTTCAGAGACACGTGGACATGTATTTCAAAGCTCTTTTGTTCAGAGACGCGTGGACATCTCTTTCAAGCTCTTTTGTTCAAAGACGCGTGGACATATCATCAAGCTCTTTTGTTCAGAGACGCGTGGACATATCATCAAATTAAAAGCTCTTTGTTCACAGACGCATGGCCATCTCTTTCAAGCTCTTTTGTTCAGAGACGCGTGGACACATCATTCAGAAGCTCATATTAAAAAGAAGCTCTTTGTTCAGAGACGCATGAACATATCTAAAAAAGCTCTATTGTTCAGAGACGAGTGAACAAAAAACAACGAGATGACGTTCCCTAGATTGTGGAAGGTTGTCAACAACAGCAATGCAACACAAATCGGATACCTCTAGAGACGTGTGCTGGACGGTGCAAGATACGCGTTTCTTAACTCTTTTATCTGTTTTAACTAATACTAGTTTTGCATGTATCGGCGTTACAAGAATGATTTAGGATCGCAGAACGTTCTAAATCATTCTCCGTCCCTATTGATACTTTTTGGCTGATTTTCTCTATAAATAGCCTCCTAAAAACTCCGTTTTGAATCATCTACAATCATCAATTCTCTCTCTCACCAACTCTCATCAAGAATCTCTTGATACTCTCTCTATCTCTCTCTTTCTAAACTAGCCTTTTACAAACACAATTCCTCATACATTAGCACTAGACACACCTAGCATTGTTCGAAGTTGCCTTCGCCCTAGACGTGAACGATTTTAATTTCTGAGGGTTTGGTCCCAAATCTTTATTTCAATTATTATTTAATTTAATTGTTTGTTTTATTATTTTCCTTGAAGTTACTAACGCGTGTATTTTGTTATTAGAAAGAGGTATGAGACATCCAAGCAAGTGCTTTAATTGGTTTCATTGTAATTATGATATAGAAATCATGTCTAGGTTGTTATTATATATATATATACTATACAATTGATAGAGTTTGCTTGGAGAATAATAAACCCTAAACTCTAGAAAGTTCTAGAGTGATACAAGATGGACATCCACAAATATGTTTAGATAAGAATAAACCATATATCTAGAATATTCTGGAATGATATAAGGAGCATAATGATCATCCACACAATATTTCATAACAAACTCATTATTTTATCATTATGAAGTACTCCCGTTTTTAAATACTTGCTCCATTTCTCCATGCGCGAAGTTTTAGGAGATTTTGAAGAGAGTAATAAAATATAGAGGTAGTGGGGTTAGTGGAAGGTAAATTAGAGGAAAGATAATGTAAAAGTAATAGAATTAGGCCCCACTTGTTCAGAGTAATGAATTAAATATTACAAGAGTTTTCCAAATAAGGAAATAGAGCAAGTATTAAAAACAAACGCAAAAGAAAAGTGGAACAAGTATTTAAAAACAGAGGGAATATTTTTCAATGTGCAAGTACAAAAATACTTATGAACAATAAAAAAACAAGGTTTATATTTTTGAGCCGTCTCTACACTACTCCCTCCGTTTTTAAATACTTGCTACATTTCTCCATGCGCGGAATTTTAGGAGAAATTGAAGAAAGTAATAAAATATGGAGGTAGTAGGGTAGTTGAAAGAATGAAAAATTGTAAAAAGCCAAAGTAGTGGAAGAATAGGAGGAGAAAGAGTATTATGTTGGGTCCATTGAGTGTGAGAAATGAATTAAATATTGTAAAAGCTTTCCAAAAACATAAATGGAACAAGTATTTAAACACGACCAAAAAAGGAAAGTGGAACAAGTATTTAAAAACGGATGGAGTAATTAGTTAATAAAGTTGTTTATTGACTTGGAGAAGAAGGGACATAAATGCATAAGAGCATCCGAAGAGGGATTTAGAAATTTTGTACAGGGTGGGCCGTATGAAGTAACAAGAACAAATATTTTCTTTTGTAAGAAAAAATGCGTAGACAAATTACAAGATGTGGCATGTATATGTGGGATTTTATCTTTCGACTTGCTGCACTAGTATATCAATAAATAACCAACTTAGTTATATTTCTATTGCTTAATAAATACAACAATTTGGTATTTAATACTAAAAAATATGGGCATGGGGCAAGTGGTCCTTGGTAGGCCCACCTCTGGATTTGTATATGAGAGCATCCATAATATATAGCTTAGGGCATCTTTAAGGGTGAACTATTTAATTGTTCACAATGAATAAACAAATAAAGTGGTGGCTTAATGGCAAACCTTTAATGGTTCATGTTGAGTGGTCATGGGTTCGATTGCAGGAGCAAGCATTTCCATGAATTAATTCGCTGTGGGCCCCACCAATATTTTGGACTGGTATTATAGCAAAACGACGTCGTTTTGCTGTTTCATGGTGCAAAACGACGTCGTTTTGCTGTTAAAGCTCAGAAAAAAAAATAGAAATCAGCGGCTGGGAGCGCGCCACTTGGCCCAGCCGCTGCTTGACACGTGTGCACTGTTTTAAATATATCCGTTGTAATTTTGCAACGGATATATTTACAAAATACAAATAAAAAAAAATAAAAAATTACCAACGACTCTATTTTTTTCCCCTCTATAAATAGACACCCATATTGATATATTTTTTTCAACTTTCAAAATTCATTTTTTTCTACTATATTTTTCTCTTCAAAAATCCCCTCTATAATTACCAATATTATTATTATTATTTATACCAATATTAATATTATTATTGTTATTATTATTTTTAATTATCGTTATTATTATTATTATTATCGTTATTATTATTATTATTATCGTTGTTATTATTATTATTATTATCATCGTTGTTATTATTATTATTATTATTATTATTATTATTATTATCGTTATTATTATCGTTATTATTATTATTTCTATTATTATTATTGTTATTATCGTTATAATTATCGTTATTATTATCGTTATTATTATTATTTCTATTATTATTATTGTTATTATTATTATTATTATTATTAAATTTTTATTTTTTCCAAATATAAATTATAATTATGGATGCTAATACCAACCCCAAAACAAATAGAAAGCAAAAAAAAAATTTGGGTCAAAATATGATCCCGAATCAAGCATCGCAGAAGGTGTCATCAACCTGTTCGGTGATCAGTACCTACGCCGTCCAAACATCGCAGATATGGAAAGATTGCTACGTATTGGGGAAGAACGTGGATTTCCTGGCATGATAGGTAGCATTGATTGTATGCACTGGGAGTGGAAGAACTGTCCACACGCATGGAAGGGGCAGTATCAAGGAAGAGAAGGAGTTGCAACTCTCAAACTGGAGGCAGTTGCGGACAGAGATCTATGGATATGGCATTTGTTTTTTGGGATGCCAGGTAGCTGCAACGATATTAATGTGCTTCATCGATCCCCTGTGTTCGAAGACGTCTTAGAGGGTCGGACACCTCCTGTCAACTTCGTAGTCAATGGTCATCATTATACGAATGGGTATTATCTTACTGATGGAATCTACCCTAGATGGGCTTCTTTTGTGAAATCCATTACGAGTCCACAAACTCATAAGGATCGTTTATTCGCAAAACACCAGGAAGCTGCTAGAAAAGACGTTGAATGTGCATTTGGGGTCCTTCAAGCTCGTTTTGCCATTATTAAAAAGTCGTCTTTGGCGTGGGATACCGACATACTCCACAATATCATGCTCGCCTGCATCATAATACATAATATGATCGTTGAAGATGAACGAGAGACGTATCAAAATAACGTTAATACCAATGAGGTTATGAATGCTGGAGGGAACGCTAATGAGGACACTACCGAGTACCGTAATGATCGTATTGTGGATATCGGCTTATACTTGTCTCGTAGAACAGAGGTTGAGGATCAACAGACTCATTTGCAGCTAAAAAACGACTTGGTCGAACATATATGGAATAAATTTGGTAACAACGAAAACTTAGGCAACTAGGTTTACAACAAATGGTTATCCCTAAGGACATCTTACAAAACGATGTGTAGTTGTGTTTTTTTTTTTAAAATAAAAAATACTAGATTATAGTTGTAGAACTGTAATCACGATTTGTACCTCCTTTTTTTATGTTAATTAAAATTAGCTGCGTTGTTGTTTAAAAAACATTAATCACAAGAATTAATTTTTTAAAAAGCTGATAAAAAAACGCGATAATTTCTTAATTAGTAATCACGATTAAAATATTAAATACGTCAATTAATTACATTGACATCGGTTAATAAATTATAATTATGAAACAAAAAGATTATATTTACAAAAATAAAATAAGGTGGGGTAGGGAGTATTGATGATGAACCATTGTTTAGTGTTTATTGTTAAGAGTGAATATTGTAAATGGTTTGTTGGGTTGATGTGGATGAGAGAGAAATGGTGATAGTGACCCATGAACCATTTTTTTTTGTTCACCAATAATGGTGCTCTTAGTTTTGATTTGACACATCATCAATATCAAGCTAGTAAACTATATCCATAGGCGGATCTATGGAGGGACCTGGGTGCACCGACCCCCCCCCCCCATCCCAAATTTTTTATTTTTTATTTAAGTGTGTGTAAATTTATGGGTTAAATAAAATTTTAATGCAATAAATAATATCAAATTAGCTTTGTCATAGTGGTAATGCATTGAGTTTGGACTAAAAGTCTAAGGTTTAAGCACTTATGCAAGCATTTTATTTTTATTTTTTTTATTTAGTGCCCCTCCACACTAAATATTCTACATCCGCCACTCTATATCATTTTAAGCTACAACCTCAACTCTTGTAATATTAATACTAGTTGGGCTTGGGCGATTCTTGTAATTAAATTTGTTATACATATTAATACTTAACTTCGTATTATTTTGTTGACACATATACTTTTTTAGGAATTTTATATTTAGTTGGTATGTTTCTTTATTGGATAAATTTTTACCTTACATTTACTAGTGTACCTAAGGACACCTGTTTGTGTCTCCTAAAAAATCAAACCAAGTGATGAGTACCTTTCACACCATTGAATATCGAACAAGGTAAAATGTTGAAGAATCTCATGAATTCTTCTATTTGCTAAAATGTTTTAATAAAAATAATTCATTTTTTATTTCGAAAATCGTTCATTTTGTATCCTATTTATGAAAAACGTCTAATCCAGTTTGTTTTGGTCCATAATTTGGGTCCAATAATTGTAAAGTTGGATGGGGTTTGAAAAGAGTTTTCCAATGATATATTATAAGCCTAATTCCTAGTTGTAGTAATGAAGTTATGGCCAATATACTAAACTGGTTTCTAAATGAGTTTTATGAGCGGCCCAATGATCACGTGGAAGGTCCATTAATTTTGATTGTATTCCTAAAGTCATTTGGATTTATCCTAGTCTTCTAGAATCTTCTAGAAGGTTATTTTGAGTTCTAATGGGATTAGGATTAGTAATTATAATTATATCTGATTTTGAAAATAAAAAGAATTCTATTTGGAATAAAACAAGTGTTTTTGAAAGATTAAATCCGGTTTGATTAAAAACAAGTACGGATTCAAAGTAACCTAATTTGATTTGGAAAAGGACTCTGTATGGAAACTTTATCGTACGGCAACCATTGCGCCGTGATAGGTTCACCGTTTACTCCGAGTCTGATTCTGTTTCTTTTCCATCGCTTACGGTCGATTAATCTCTAAACATAGGGTCTTTTTCCTCCGTTTTCAAATCATTAACAATCATCTATTCATTCTCTCTCTATCTAAGCTAAAGCTTATTCTTCCTATCTCTTGATTTCTAAGCCTAGCCTATACAAAATATATCATACGTCCATAATGAGTCTCGAATACACCTAGCTAAGCTCGAAGTTGCCTTAGACCTCGACGTGAAAGGTTGATAGTTCTTAGGGTTTGGTCTCAAATCTAATTAATATTATTATTATTGTTTGATTTAATAATTTCATTGAAATTAGTAACGTGTGTTTGTTTTGATAGAAAGAGGTACGCGAGTTCAAAGTGAGTAATTCAATTGCTTTATTTCTTTAGAAATCATGCTTAGATTGTTTTATTAATTCCTAGTATCATGTTAGGATGCTTTTATTGCTTTCTGGTATTATGTTAGGGATAAAGATTTGATTTTTATTATTTTGTGGCATACTAGGATTTATTATTATTAAACATGTTAATATCATGCCTAGGATTCTGCTAATAATATTATGCTTTGATGAGATTATTATGATGATGAGGATTGTTGTATCAATGTTATTATGTTTCTTGATATGTTATTTTTATTGCTTGATTACACCCTCTCTTGCAGGTTTAAATGGAATTTATACTTGAAATCACACTTAATAAGATAATTAATAATTCGAATTAGGCTAACATGATGTTATTCAAGTGATCACCAATAATAGGTTTGTTTGTGCATTAATAATCAACAAACATAGAATAAACACGTTTAACAATTAATATAATGATTGTATATTGATCGAAAAGCACACATGAATATGAGAAGAACAAAGTAGAAGCCTATTCAGGGCAAGTTTAATCTCTTTTAGGTTGGATTTGTGCTTTCATCCCCGGAGATCCAGTCATGGTTCAAGACCACTACAGAGTTAGCAATCTCTGTGATCTTGAATGATTTACAAGTTCCTAAAATGTTTTGGCGACTCTTTTGCTCTAGCTTCCTTCCCTTTGGACGCCACCATGCTTAAATGCATGATCACAGTGGGCTCAACTGTGGGATGCTTGAAATATTCCCTGCAGTTTTTGGTGACTCCACTAGGGAGGATTTTTATTTTAATTCCTAAAATTTATTTTGTCAATGATTTAGAATGAGTGTATGAGACTTGAAACGTTCTAAATATTCATGTGCGTAATTTTAATTTACATTATGGCATAAGCATAGGTCCGCATTGGAAAGACCATCCGTAATGCGTCAAAAACAAATGATTTTGCACTTAGGAAATTTGGGAAATATCTTTCAGAACTAGAATCAAAAAAACACTACGAAAAACTGGAAATCCTGAGAACACAGAAAGCTACCGAGGCATATAGAAACCGTTGCGAGACTGCAGTGTCCATCGCTATGCGATGGCTTTATCGCAACGCGATGGTTTCATCGAGGAACGATAAAGTCCTCGCTGTGCGATGGACTCTGATTTCTCTCGCCGAGTTCTTCCATTACCGAGCTAGAAGTCTTCCTTCTTTTTTTTACCGATTTGAGTACTGTTTGATCGATTTTACTTCCTGATTGAATTTTTTTCCTTCTTTTTCGAAAACCATATGTGTTCTATATGGGGCTTTAGCCCTCGGGAATTCACGCTCCATCTACCCAATCGAACGCTCTGTGCAACAAAGGGTACATCTGAGTTTTTTAATTCAGCAAACCATGGAAGCAAGTTTAACTTACGGGGTCCCATCCATACGCGCCAACCTTTCAAAAGGTAAGGCTTTTGCGCGATACATGTAGACTCATAACCATGGACCCTCTTTGACTATTATAATCCTTGAAGAGAACTAGATCCATGTTTAGGTTGCAAACTCATTGCATCATATTGTGATTATTTGACTATTTGTGAATTTTTTTTCTTGAGCATAGCCTATGTGTGATTAAGCTAACCGTTTGTTTGAATTGTGATTAATAATAAGTCTAAATAAACTGATTAATGACTAAAGAACTTTTCTTAATTAATTAATTAATTAATTTGGATTATTAAAGTCTAATAATACTGAACTTAACATGACTTAGCACGACTTTAGGTTCACCCTTTTCGAGTAGAACATTGGAAACAGGTTCAAACTGCCTTTTCATTTATGACGCTAAGGTTTGGCTTGTGGCATGAACCGTTAGTAGGGATGGAAATGGATCGGGTTCGGATCGGGTGGAGCTCCACCCCCATCCGTCACCCACAGCCATTTGTTTCACCCGATCCATCCGTCACCCGCATAATACATCACCCGAAATCCATCCATCCACCATCCGCGGGTGAAACGGATGGGCCAGGTGGTAAATGGGTGGGTGAATAAAAATTAATTTTAGATAAAAAAAAACTTGAGAAAACTATTTTGACCCTTTAACATTAAAATAATTATAGTAAAATAATTGTGATATGCCAAATATTAACATTATAAATAAAATGTAATCATGCCATACAACTTCTAATATGCAAATAATATATATGTATAAGATATTTATATTTATTTTTAAAAAATAAGAATATTTATAATATTAAACGGATGGATGACGGATGGGATTAACCACCACCCGAATCCGACCCGATCCATCACCTGATTCACCCGTCACCCGCCTCTCATCTATATAAACCGAGTTTTTCACCCGTTTAATAAAGCGGATGGACCGGTTGGTCGGATCATCCGTTGGATATTTCCATCCTTAACCGTTAGGGTTCATCGCGATGCGATAGTAATATCGCGCCGCGATGGCTCTGACACGACACGATAGTTTCATCAGTCACGCTATGGTCCAATTTCTCGCTCAAGTCTTCGCGTCGAGTCTAATTGATTGATTAATTAAATAACCGAGTCATAATTTGGTTTTAATAGAGTCTAGGCACATAGTCCCATGGTCTTACACAAGCGTCAAGCATGTCACTTTCACTCACTAATCAATATCACACAATTTGTATATGAGTTTCACCATGACAATGTTTAAGAGTCTTGTGAGCGCATTTTCCGTCATTTTTTTAGGTGGGTAAGTCGGATATTATATCCTCCCAACATGACTATGGTTTTTTTAAACCATAACTTGATCCATAACTTGATTTCCCAAAATATGCACCCATTTTTTGCTTTTTTGTCTTTTAAACCCATAAAAGTCAAAGTCAATTTGAGTCAAGTCATTAAGTCAATGGTTTAATATTACAACACTTGGTCAAGAAGAGAAGGGCGTTTAATCAAGGATAACACATTTTTTTTAAGTTCTACGCTTCGATAAACCAATCTGGCAGAGAAGAAAATTCGTGATCA